ACATACCTATGCGTTGGATTATTTTTCATTGTTTAGCTACTCATTAGCAAACGTTAATTATCTGTTTGCTAGCATTGCAACGTTAAATGTCTAACCCAAGACTCAACTTCGCCAGATGATTACCTGACCCATCAACTTAGCCAGGTGTGTCTTGGGATGATTACGGCCTAATCTATTGTATTTCATGAACATGTGTACATATCTAGACAATAGAGACCCATACACTTAGCTAGATGTGGCTGGTGGGTGGATATAGCCTTTCTTTTTCATGAACCATCTACTTGGCCAGGTGTGTCTGGGGGTGATTTCAGACACACTCACACACATACACACATTGCTGCTACTATTTATTTTTATCCTGCTGCTCAGTCACTTTACCCTTGATTGTATGCATATAACTACCTCATCTATCACCAGTATCACTGATCTCGTTATTGATATTGTTATTGTACATAGTGTATATTATTTTGTTCTTCTCTACTGGAATTTACACTTTGTTGACTCTTTTCCATTGACACATTCTATTTTTGATATTGCTAATTGCAAATGTGCAAGTAAGCGTTTCATTGTACCGTTTACACCTTCTGTATCCTGTGCATGTGACAAATAAACTTAGATTTTATTTGAAATAGTGTGTGTTTACATTTACATTACATTTTAGTCATTTAGCAGACGCTCTTATCCAGAGCGACTTACAGTTCGTTTACCAGAGGCAGCAACGTAAAGAACAACATGAGCTCCACCAAAGTCAGATTAGGATATACAGTGGGGGGAAAAAAGTATTTAGTCAGCCACCAATTGTGCAAGTTCTCCCACTTAAAAAAATGAGAGAGGCCTGTAATTTTCATCATAGGTACACGTCAACTATGACAGACAAATTGAGAAAAAAAATTCCAGAAAATCACATTGTAGGATTTTTAATGAATTTATTTGCAAATTATGGTGGAAAATATGTATTTGGTCACCTACAAACAAGCAAGATTTCTGGCTCTCACAGACCTGTAACTTCTTCTTTAAGAGGCTCCTCTGTCCTCCACTCGTTACCTGTATTAATGGCACCTGTTTGAACTTGTTATCAGTATAAAAGACACCTGTCCACAACCTCAAACAGTCACACGCCAAACTCCACTATGGCCAAGACCAAAGAGCTGTCAAAGGACACCAGAAACAAAATTGTAGACCTGCACCAGGCTGGGAAGACTGAATCGGCAATAGGTAAGCAGCTTGGTTTGAAGAAATCAACTGTGGGAGCAATTATTAGGAAATGGAAGACATACAAGACCACTGATAATCTCCCTCGATCTGGGGCTCCTCGCAAGATCTCACCCGTGGGGTCAAAATGATCACAAGAACGGTGAGCAAAAATCCCAGAACCACACGGGGGGACCTAGTGAATGACCTGCAGAGAGCTGGGACCAAAGTAACAAAGCCTACCATCAGTAACACACTACACCGCCAGGGACTCAAATCCTGCAGTGCCAGACGTGTCCCCCTGCTTAAGCCAGTACATGTCCAGGCCCATCTGAAGTTTGCTAGAGTGCATTTGGATGATCCAGAAGAGGATTGGGAGAATGTCATATGGTCAGATGAAACCAAAATATAACTTTTTGGTAAAAACTCGACTCGTCGTGTTTGGAGGACAAAGAATGCTGAGTTGCATCCAAAGAACACCATACCTACTGTGAAGCATGGGGGTGGAAACATCATGCTTTGTGGCTGTTTTTCTGCAAAGGGACCAGGACGACTGATCCGTGTAAAGGAAAGAATGAATGGGGCCATGTATCATGAGATTTTGAGTGATAACCTCCTTCCATCAGCAAGGGCATTGAAGATGAAACGTGGCTGGGTCTTTCAGCATGACAATGATCCCAAACACCCCGCCCGGGCAACGAAGGAGTGGCTTCGTAAGTAGCATTTCAAGGTCCTGGAGTGGCCTAGCCAGTCTCCAGATCTCAACCCCATAGAAAATCTTTGGAGGGAGTTGAAAGTCCGTGTTGCCCAGCGACAGCCCCAAAACATCACTGCTCTAGAGGAGATCTGCATGGAGGAATGGGCCAAAATACCAGCAACAGTGTGTGAAAACCTTGTGAAGACTTACAGAAAACGTTTGACCTGTGTCATTGCCAACAAAGGGTATATAACAAAGTATTGAGAAACTTTTGTTATTGACCAAATACTTATTTTCCACCATAATTTGCAAAATAAATTCATTAAAAAAATCCTACAATGTGATTTTCTGGAATATTTTTTCTCATTTTGTCTGTCATAGTTCACGTGTACCTATGATGAAAATTACAGGCCTCTCTCATCTTTTTAAGTGGGAGAACTTGCACAATTGGTGGCTGACTAAATACTTTTTTCCCCACTGTAGGCCAAGGACTAGATAAGGTGTATTTTTAACCTGGAGTTTTTCCCTTATTGTGGGCTACTACTTTTCACCCCCTTTTAGTCTTTAAATATTTGGTTGTTTACTACACTACCTTACTCACTCTGTTTAGCGCATGGCCTCACATGTGAATCCTTAAAGAGATGGGTGGGGCTAAGGCTTAAGAGGTGTGAACGATGCTGAATGTGTGTAAACAAGGAAGAGCTCTCTAGTAGGTGTACCAAAACATTCAAGGGCCATTTTCTCAAAAGTGGGGTTACAAGTTAATCAACTTTCAAAGTAGCATTACTTTCCCAAGGTCCTCAACTGCAGTGTATGATATACAATTTTGAAGCCCTGAGTCTGTACGTTTATCCAATGTAAAAAATAAATAACAAATTAAATCAAATTTTGGAACAAAAGACCAAAAGTGTAAGCACTCTTCCAAACATTGCTAGAGAACGCATTTATAAGCAGTTGTCATACTAATGATACCTTTGAGTGTGTAGATATGAGCTTGACAAGGGTCCAGGAGCATTCCTCAATGCTTGCCAGCTTGGGGGAAGCGATGGATCGAGTTCTTCAGGTAGTACAACGCCTGGAGTAGAGAGGACCCGATCTTTCGAGACCAGCTGGTCAACCGGATCCAGCCATCTACACCCCAACCCCTGGAGGGATCCAGATATCTCGGCCACCAGCGTTTGATGGGACGGCAGCGCGATGTAAGGGATTTCTGCTCCAACCCAGAGCTGTATTTCTCCAGCATCAGGCCGGCGCCACTGGAGCGGGAGAAGGTATCTGTCCTCGTTTCCTGCCTTTGTGGGAGAGCCCTGGAATGGGCCAACGCGGTGTGGAACGAGGGAGGTGCCGCGTTGGAGGACTACGGGGAGTTTGCTCGCCTCTTTCGGGCCGTTTTCGATCACCCGCCTGAGGGTCGAGAGGCGGGCGAACGACTGGTCCATCTGAGGCAGGGGACGAGGACCGCACAGGACTACGCGCTGGAGTTCCGGACGCTGGCAGCGGGGGTTCCGGGTGGAACGAGCGGGCCCTGATCTACCATTTCCCGGTGCCACCTAAGGGAGGATGTCCGACGGGAGCTAGCCTGCCGTGATGCCATGCTATCGTACCATTTGTATTTGCCAAGGTGGAATATTTCCCTTGTGATGTTTCGTTTTGTCGCTGGGTGCATTTTATTTATGTAAACTGAATAAACTCTGGACTTCGGTATTTTACCTTCTGCGCCTGACTCCTTCATTCACACCTCGTCACAGAAACAAAGATATTCAAGTATGATACATTTTGTTTTTTTATTATTTTTAAGGCTGTTCTCTTGCTACGATCATTCAGTCGGATATCCTGAAGACATTCACCCAAGGAGATACAGTAAATTTTGCAATGCCTCATGTCAGGTGAAGTTGGAAACTACTACGGGTTCAAAACAGACAGTGGGACAAGCTCCGTGATGATTGTATCTATTTATGCTCACTCTGGAAGTCCAACATTTCATAGGGAGTTTGACAACAACCCTTGGTTTGCTGCAGAGAAGAACAGGGACACTTCCCTTTCAGTCGGTCACTCGGTTATAACATACTATGGGGAGTCAATTACCAATCATATTCACCTGAAGAAAACTAAAAACACACCCAACGGGCCAATGAATGCAGAGCCCGCCCTCGGAAGCCCCGCCTTCCTGCTAAAACACCAAATTCTTCGCTCTTCAGTTCGCCTGAAGGAGAACATGTCACGCAATTTACAAATATTTCAAGCACATGAAGACTACTAAATTCGGCTCCAACTTAGATGTCTGTTAGTGGGGAGAGAATTCTCGTACCCCTAGTTGCGAGTTCGGGTCTTGGTATCAGTCTTTGTGTTTCCTAAAAGCTAGCTACTTTCTGCTCTGCTTGTGTAGCTAATGGCTTCCTTGCTTGGGTTTAGGATTTGTGTTTGCTAAAAGCCTACCACTTCTGCTCTGCTTGAGTAAGATGGCCAGTGGTAAGAGTAAGTTCAAAAAGGCTAAACAGACGGTTTTGAGACTCAGACCGTGCCCTAGGGCATGTGATTTAATAATGAAAATTAAAGATACTCACAAGTGATGTCCTGTTTGCCTGTAACTGTGTTACAGTGGCCTCAGGGCTGCCGGAGATGGGGAGAGGGGGGCTGTTTGTTTCCCGCCTGTAATGCAAGGGACTGGAGTTCAATTCCCTGATGGGCATCCCAGCCAAGCAATGGCTAGCTGGATGGGTTCTCTGCTTCCCTGAAGGTTGATTGGGAACTGCATTCTGGAAAGGTTGTGGTGTCTCTGACTGGTTCATGTTTTTTTTTCGTGCCTTCTGCCACAGATATTGCGGCCGGCGGTATGGTTCTCCTCTCCTTCGCAACTTGGTGTCTAGGTTGGGGAAGTTTTACCACCTGTGATGACTGCGGTAAAGCGTCGCTTGACTCTTTTTCAGTTTTTTGACCTGGAATAACTCACATTCAGCCAAAATGCATGAATGTGGAACTGTTTTATAGGGCCGC